GTACACCTCCCAGCAACGTTTTTAGCTTCATGCATTAGCAAAACACTTTCTAAAAACATAATTATATCAATGTACAGAAATTTACCCCATCCACAAAAAACATAAAATCTTAGGTAATATCAGATCTGGAATGTGATGTGAGACATTTACAAGGTAACCCCTCCTCTAGCCATATTCCCAGGTAGTCTGAGGCTCGGTTATAATACAATTGCTCATCCTACCGTCGCGACAGTTGCCGAAAGTTGTCAGGAGGTTTGAAGCTGGTTCAACTTTGCCGATTGTGTTGCAAACGATTAGGGGTGCCTTCCCCGATTGCGCTGGGGAAACTAGCAATGCCCCCTGATTATTAGGGTGAGCGACTGTGTGGAAACCAAGCTTTGCAGCTCACCCATTCATTAATTACAAACATAAAACTAACAACAGTTAACAACACATCAACTAACACAATTCTGAGGTAATCTAGAAGGAAATTTTATTGCCCGCAGACACAATCTCTATAATTCTTTAAATTCTTTTTGTAGAATTACCAATTAGATAAATTAACAATTAGAAGGTTCACTCTTATTAATCCTCTGCCTGGCAAAAAGCAGTTTCTGTTTAAAATGCTTATCATATAAATTAGTTCATGGGATTGAAATTATTAATGTACTAAGCTACCCTCCTTCTCCATTCTTTTCGTTTCTCTTTTTCCTTTTTTATGGTGAGTGGGAGAGGCTATCCGCCGTGGCACAACCCACCCTTGATTTGTTTCTCAGTTACAGATAATAATGTTGCTCCTCTGCTACACCGCGGTTGACTATCCAATGGCATCTTATATGATCCTGAAAGATAGGAAATCAGATGCATTAACATTGATATTTAAACAGGATAGATATTTACATTTAGTGATGGTTACCAAGATGCCTCAAATATTGTGAATATTATGTGGACCAATGATTTACTAAGTATTCATGTGGTAATTTGTTTATAACTGTAATTTGCATTTCCGTATATAGGCCTGCTGCGGTATATAAAGCATTGTTTTGACAGAGTTGATGATAAAGATAGATATTGATGAAAATGTTGACATGTTGCTTACAGTAAACTAAAAAAATCAACGATATATCAAGGTTATGTTTTAATATTTATGTTATATTTTATGATGGCCTAGTGATAATGATGATGATAATAGTGACAATGGGGATATTGATTGTGATGATGATGGCATCGAGAGAGCAGCTTAGGCCAGTCGGCTAATCTGGTGGTAGCCACTGTGTTTGCACTGAACCGTTGAGATCTCTAGGTCTGGTTCAATTCCCATAGCTGCCTCTCCTTGTGTTTCAGCTAGAGGGTTGAAATACAACTTACAATCTGTCTCTTGGATGAGACGTTTAAGAAGTTGGTCCCGTGTGCATCTATGGCCCATGTGCACGTTAAAGAACGCAGTACACGTACTCTTCGGAAAAGAGTAGGGGATTGTCTCCCGGTGTACTCTCCAATCACCCCCATAAGGACCCCACTGGAAATAAGTCTTCTTCTAGACTTTTGTGGGCTATCCTTGGTGTTTACACCGAATAAATCCAATCCAATCCAATTATGATAATGATGATTATGATGATGATGATGATGATGATGATGATGATGGCATTATGATAATGATGGTGATAATGATGATGATGATGATGATGATGATAATTATGATGATGATGATGATGATGATGATGTCTTTATGATGAGCCCAGGTCCCTTGGATTTTTTAATTTCTTTTATTTTAACAATATTTGAAGAGGGTGACCCTTCCAACTTATTCAAGAAATTGGCTGATATTCAATGGGTCCACTTAAATAAATGAATTGTGAACCTTTATAAACTATATTACAACAGCGAGATAATACAGATCATTTATTAGTGATGAGAATAAATCATGGCTGTCCAAAGACTTGGACCCCGGGCCCTTTGATTGAGAAGCAAGCATCTCATTTTTTATCTCACCTTATACATTTGCCTTGGTTCATAGACTCAAGGTCCAGTTCATTTTTGAATATGAACAGATATAATAATAATATATAATATTTAATAAAATAGTAATTAAATTTATTATTACAACATAATGCATTTTGTACATTTATGTGATTCAGATTATGCATTGTTTTATAAGGTAGATTTTTTTGATTGTTTTATATTTGAATTATATTTTATGTTATTATTTATCATTTATCAATTTTTGTTTTCGAAGAAATAATAATAATGCAATTTTCTCAAGGTTTTAATTAATTTGTTTTCGTTGCAACCTTAATGTATATATTTTAACAATATTTAAAGAGGGTAAAAAAGAAAAATATATTTCATGTTTGTTTCATGTTTGTTTTATTGTACAATTGCTGATATTTAGCAGCATTTTTGAATAAATTAAATAATGTTAACTTTGTGAGAAACAGAGATCTTTCCTTAGTGATGAGAATAATCATGGCCTTACAGGACTTGGACCCATGACCATGATCCATATATATATATATATATATATCTGTCTCTTATACACATCTAGATGTGTATAAGAGACAGATATATATGTATATATATATTTATTGATACAGGTTACATAGTTACAATTAGTGAGGGTTACTAAAATAGTGTTGTGTACCTGTATAATTTCCCCAGTTATGCTGTTGAGCAATTTATTTATGTCGTAATTTGTTTATAATTGTAATTTGCATTTAAATTTTTGACAGAGTTGATGATAATGTTAAAGATAAAATGAATTTTCTTGATAAAAATGTTATACTAACTTCTTGGCTTGTTCTTGCAGAAGATAATATTCTAGTATTTATGTTATAATTTATGATGGCCTAGTGTTAATAATGATGCTGATGATGATAATAATGTTGATGCTTATTGCTTTATGATAATTATGATGAAGATGATAATGATGATGAAGATGAAGATGTTGTCTTTACGATGATGCTGATGATGATGACATCCTGATAATGATGATAATGATGACGATGATGTCATTATAATGATGATGAAGGGTTTCTTAGAATGTTGACTGAATTGAGGAGTACTCTGACACAACTGAAATAATTTGAACCTTAATAGACCATTTTAATGAGTGAGGGAGTAGCGATCTTTCTTAGTGGTTACACTGATTTGATGTGCTGTCACAGGACTTGAACCCTTGCCCTTTGATTGGGAGGCAAGCATTTTAACCAAGTGCACCTCCATTATTTATCTTACCTTATATATCACCTTAGTTTATTTCGGATTCAAGATACGTAGTCCATTTCCTTTATAAATATGAATAGAAATAATAATAAATAATATTTATTATTACAACATAACACAATTAAATATAAACTTACTAGTAAACATTATTTATCCTATAATTTATGATGGCCTAGTGAAAATGATGATGACGATGATGATGCTGATGATGATAACATTCTGATAATGAATATAATGATGTCTTTATGATGATGATGAAGGGTTTTCTAGAATGTTGACTGAATTGAGGGGTACTCTGACACAACTGAAATAATTTGAACCTTAATAGACCATTTTAATGACTGAGGGAGTAGCGATCTTTCCTAGTGGTTACACTGATTTAATGTGCTGTCACAGGACTTGAACCCTTGCCCTTGGATTGGGAGGCAAACATTTTAACCAAGGGCACCTCCATTATTTATCTAACCTTATATATCACCTTAGTTTATTTCAGATTCAAGATACGTAGTTCATTTCCTTTATGAATATGAATAGAAATAATAATAAATTATATTTATTATTACAACATAACACAATTAAATATAAACTTACTAGTAAACATTATTTATCCTATAATTTATGATGGCCTAGTGAAAATGATGATGACGATGCTGATGATGATAACATTCTGATAATGATGTCTTTATGATGATGATGAAAGGTTTCTTAGAATGTTGACTGATTTGAGGTTTACTCTGACACAACTGAAATAATTTGAACCTTAATAGACCATTTTAATGAGTGAGGGAGTAGCAATCTTTCTTAGTGGTTACACTGATTTGATGTGCTGTCACAGGACTTCAACCCTTGCCCTTGGATTGGGAGGCAAGCATTTTAACCAAGTGCACCTCCATTATTTATCTTACCTTATATATCACCTTAGATTATTTCAGATTCAAGATACGTAGTCCATTTCCTTTATAAATATGAATAGAAATAATAGTGAATTATATTTATTATTACAACATAGCACAATTAAATATAAACTTACTGGTAAACATTATTTATCCTATAATTTATGATGGCCTAGTGAAAATGATGATGACGATGATGATGCTGGTGATGATAACATGCTGATAATGATGTCTTTATGATGATGATGAAGGGTTTTCTAGAATGTTGACTGATTTGAGGTTTACTCTGACACAACTGAAATAATGTGAACCTTAATAGACCATTTTAATGAGTGAGGGATTAGCGATCTTTCTTAGTGGTTACACTGATTTGATGTGCTGTCACAGGACTTGAACCCTTGCCCTTGGATTGGGAGGCAAGCATTTTAACCAAGTGCACCTCCATTATTTATCTTACCTTATATATCACCTTAGTTTATTTCAGATTCAAGATACGTAGTCCATTTCCTTTATAAATATGAATAGAAATAATAATAAATTATATTTATTATTACAACATAACACAATTAAATATAAACTTACTAGTAAACATTATTTATCCTATAATTTATGATGGCCTAGTGAAAATGATGATGACGATGATGATGCTGGTGATGATAACATTCTGATAATGATGTCTTTATGATGATGATGAAGGGTTTTCTAGAATGTTGACTGATTTGAGGTTTACTCTGACACAACTGAAATAATTTGAACCTTAATAGACCATTTTAATGAGTGAGGGAGTAGCGATCTTTCTTAGTGGTTACACTGATTTGATGTGCTGTCACAGGACTTGAACCCTTACCCTTGGATTGGGAGGCAAGCATTTTAACCATGTGCACCTCCATTATTTATCTTACCTTATATATCACCTTAGATTATTTCAGATTCAAGATACGTAGTCCATTTCCTTTATAAATATGAATAGAAATAATAATAAATTATATTTATTATTACAACATAACACAATTAAATATAAACTTACTAGTAAACATTATTTATCCTATAATTTATGATGGCCTAGTGAAAATGATGATGACGATGATGATGCTGATGATGATAACATTCTGATAACGATGATAATGATGTCTTTATGATGATGATGAAAGGTTTCTTAGAATGTTGACTGATTTGAGGTTTACTCTGACACAACTGAAATAATTTGAACCTTAATAGACCATTTTAATGAGTGAGGGAGTAGCGATCTTTCTTAGTGGTTACACTGATTTGATGTGCTGTCACAGGACTTGAACCCTTGACCTTGGATTGGGAGGCAAGCATTTTAACCAAGTGCACCTCCATTATTTATCTTACCTTATATATCACCTCAGTTTATTTCAGATTCAAGATACGTACCGGTAGTCCATTTCCTTTATAAATATGAATAGAAATAATAATAAATTATATTTATTATTACAACATAACACAATTAAATATAAACTTACTAGTAAACATTATTTATCCTATAATTTATGATGGCCTAGTGAAAATGATGATGACGATGATGATGCTGATGATGATAACATTCTGATAATGA